CCCCAAAACCCCAAAACCCCAAAACCCCAAAACCCCATCGTTTTATTATTTTATTGAAATAATTTAAAGTTAAAGCCAGAATAAGACATGTGAGGAAGACTTACCCCAAGCGTTAAGGAAAACAAGTAAAAACTTAGAATTAATAAGGGAAATGGGATAAAATTTGGCAAAAAGAGCAAATTAGTAAGATCTAAGCCTTTAAAGCAATTATTTAGCAGTGAAAGAAGTAGAAATGAAAGAAAATTCGCAGCCTTACCTTCTCTTTAGTAATATGTAAATTGATGATCTGGTAAAATCAGTAGATGCAAATTATAATAATTAGCAAATATAAGAATTAAGAGCTATTTCATATGTTTGATTGTGAGGATTCCTATGTTAGCACCTCAAGCTTTGAATTCAGAGGCATTAAGACTCTCGAAAACAGTATCAGACATTAAAGATCCTGAATCAAAGGAACCTAAATCAGGCAAGTCAACAAATTTAAACCTGGTTAGATGGATCCAATCATAAAAGCTAGGGAAAACAACAAAGCCCTTGGCCGCATAGTTACAGTCACCTTAACTGTACCAAGTACAAATGACAATGGCAAGAGGGCAGATATCACAACAAAGACGTTGAAGCCTGGCCTGCAAAAGCAAATTGCAATTTAACAAAAGTCATAGGCAAGAAGCATTAGAGCTAAAAATTGAAATGAGCCTACCAGACTGCTTGCTCAAGAGATTTCAAATCACAATACTTTCAGGGTAAGAGAATCTACGAATGATCTGACTGGATAAGATACGAAGAAGACTGTAAAATATTAAAAATTTCCACTAAAATTATAAATTTCTTGTTATTAATTATTTATTCTATAAACTTTAATAAATAAATTAATATTTTTGACTTATCCAAATTCAGAATCAACAGTTTTCTCAAATCATGATTCTCAAAATTCTCTCACTAAATTTAACTTCAGTAATTACTTAACTAAATTGTCAACTGAGTTTGTCAAGGCACCGTGCAGACACCATTAGATTTTAGAAGTAAATTTTATTGCTAGAATTCTCAACTTAGAATTCCTGCCAACTAACCATATATGATCAGACTTATTTTTCAGACGAAAATAGCCAATACCAAAAGTACCTGTTTTAGCTCTTTCTGATCTGCCAGTAGGGAGGATTAAGGAAGCCATGCTAGCCTGAGGGTTTAAAGTATTCCTCCATTTTGAAGTACATTAGAACTTTGCTATAACCTATCTGGCTTCCTGCATCAGATATGTATATTTGGCACTTGAAATATGCTAATAAAGGCTAAAATAAATTTTCCTGAGTGAGATTTTGCAACCCTTGTAGGCAAAATTGATTAAAATTCTTAATTCTAAGTTAATATGATCTATTTGGAGGTTAACACTCTTAGGATTAATACCATTTAATCCTATGTTAAAATATATGGTGACTGCCACGATAATTAGACAGATGACAGACAGGATAAATGTGACTGATAGAGCTGAAAGTAGTACTGACTTGATTACGAAATCATATTTAATGACAAAAGAAGTAAGATCAATGTAACTAAGGCAAAAGAGTCAGGTGAATTATTGAGAGCAAGACTGCAGTCTTAATTTCATAATTTGCTAACTTTTAGATGGTTTAATATTCCTTAATCAAAAGATTTAGCAATTAGTAACAAGCATTTTGACATTAGCGGATCTGTATCCATTAAGCTCTTTAGAACTGGAAAGTTGAAATTAATAGCTGTAATTAGTTCTCTATCATTTGCTGATAGGGGCTCTTTTCAGATATATTAGAAACCTTTTTCAACTATCTCAAAATTTCATAAGAAGCAGGTGATTTAGCTGGCCTTGTTAGTTATGAGTTGATCCTTATTCTAATTTGCCATCATTTTGTCTGTATTTAATCAGTCCTTTTGATTCCAAAATCACAGCTTTTTCTACGGAGTGTTAGTACCATGATTCTACTCAGGTGTTCAATGCAAGTTCTTTCTGAACCTAGATTTCACCGACATCCAGTACCATATGTGGAGATTTTATGAACGTTATTGAAAAACCAGGTCTGAAATGGGTAATTTTGTTGATAATTTTCAATTCTCTGCATAAATTCATAACCAAGTCTATTATTTTGCTTTAAAAGTTGCATTAAACATTTCTTCCTGTTAGCTGAATAATTAAGAAGACGACTCTGAAGTATTTGTCTAATTCTTACGAATTCTTTGTTTCAAGGACTAATTAATTATTTGGGGTTTTGGGGTTTTGGGGTTTTGGGGTTTTGGGG